CTGATGTCTTCAACTCATCAGAAGTAGGATTTCTATAGAAAACCACAAAATCAGTAGTTTATAGAAGAAGTCTTGAAAACGCTTTAGAGAAGAAGTGTTTCTGTATTAAGGTGCCAATTTCATTTCTCTTCTTTTTTCTCAGGACTTTGATTCCTGGTTTGACACAAATAACTGCCTGGGTGATCAAAAGTTGGTTGAACGTCTTCACACTGTATGTATTTAATGCGACTATCCAGCACGCTGCTGTACGTTGTAAGGTGTGTTATATTTCAGTTGGGTTAATGGGCTCCCTGTGTGTAGGTGCTGCGTCCTTTCTTGCTTCGTCGTATCAAAGCAGACGTGGAGAAAACTCTGCTCCCCAAGAAGGAGATCAAGATTTACGTTGGCCTGAGTAAGATGCAGCGGGAGTGGTAAGCATCCCCAGTTAAAATGGATTTGCTATAAAACAAGACCTAAGCTGTTTTTGTGTTTTCCCCTGCTGTATTTGTGGATGCTGAACTTAAGTTGTTGGGTGCTACTACCCGTCAGGTATACAAAGATTCTGATGAAGGACATCGACATTCTGAACTCGGCGGGTAAAATGGACAAGATGCGTCTGCTGAACGTTCTCATGCAGCTGAGAAAATGCTGCAACCATCCTTACCTGTTTGATGGGGCTGAGCCCGGCCCGCCATACACAACAGACATCCACCTGGCGGTGAACAGCGGCAAGATGGTGGTGCTAGACAAGCTGCTGCCCAAGCTAAAGGAGCAGGGTGTGTGGATTCTTTTTGTCCAGTATTTTAGTTATCTCTTTGTTACCGGCGGGAGGGCTCACACTCCCATTTGCATATACATTTTTAAATGCTGGTAGAATTGCAAAATTATTTTAATCACGTCTCTTAACGTCTCCACATCCCTGTTTTGTAGGTTCACGTGTGCTCATCTTCAGTCAGATGACCAGGATGCTGGACATCTTGGAGGACTACTGCATGTGGAGGAACTACGGTTACTGTCGCCTGGATGGGCAAACTCCACACGAGGAGAGACAGGTGAGATGTGGATTTGTCGTCTTCCATAACCAAAAGCAATTCCTGAGTGTTTGGTATTGAGAGTGTGATTATAAAAACACTTAATTTTCACGTGTTTGTGTATTTACAGATCTCCATCAATGCTTTCAATGAGCCCAACAGCTCAAAGTTCATCTTCATGTTGAGCACCAGGGCTGGAGGGCTGGGTATTAACCTGGCAACAGCAGATGTAGTCATCCTCTACGACTCAGACTGGAACCCTCAAGTCGATCTTCAGGCCATGGTTAGTAGTCTAATATGATGATCCACCTGAGCACGGGTGTAACCAATGAAAATTGAGTGTTTCGGTCAGATTACCTGACTTTTTTTTTTTCTCTGCTTAGGACCGAGCTCACAGGATTGGTCAGCAGAAGCAGGTGCGAGTTTTCCGTTTCATCACCGAAAACACAGTGGAGGAGAGGATTGTGGAGAGGGCCGAGATGAAACTGCGCCTGGACTCGATCGTCATCCAGCAAGGTAACTCATCTCACTTAAAGTCAGCCTGTTTAAACTTGTTTTAGTGTCCTGCATGCTGTTAAGAAATAAAATATGAAGTTCACATAGTGGTACTTGTTGGAAATTGCGAAATAAACTTTACTTTATTTTATTTATTTTTTGAAAATAGGGAGACTTGTGGATCCGAGTGCAAACAAACTGGGTAAGGATGAGATGCTCTCCATCATCCGCCACGGTGCCACACACGTGTTTGCTTCCAAAGAGAGCGAGATCACAGATGATGACATCGATGCCATCCTGGAGAGAGGTGAAAGGAAGGTGAGTCTGGTTGCATTAGCTGAAAAGCATCAATTGAAAATTACTGTGTGAATTTAAAAAAATCAAACACTTTGAAATGATTGTATACCAGACTATGGAGATGAAGGAGAGAATGTCATCGCTGGGCGAGAGCTCTTTGAGAAACTTCACCATGGACACGGAGAACACCAGCGTGTACACCTTCGAAGGAGAGGACTACAGAGAGAAGAAGAAGGTAAATAGGTTGGCCAGCATCAGTATTTATAATCTGGGACTGCCTTTCTTTTGGGAAAAGACTTAAATCCTTACCTTGTGATTTTCATTTTTCCGTTCAGGTCATTACAAACTGGATCGAGCCGCCCAAGAGAGAAAGGAAAGCCAATTACGCGGTGGATGCCTACTTCAGAGAAGCTCTGCGAGTCAGTGAGCCCAAAGCACCAAAGGTAGGAAACCATCACTGTACAAACATCATACAGACAGAATCTATTAAAGCAGCAGGATGTTTAATGTTTATTTATTGGGGATTTGACTAAGTTCTTTGATGGCTAAACAAGGAAAAACTCAAATGAGTCCAGCAAACTAGTGTAAAACTAAGAAACATTCGGTTATTAAGTTAAATTTGTTAACCGTTTAATATACAATGTCAAAAGCCTTGTAAAGAAAACCATGTGATACCATTAATCACATTCTTCAATAATGAATCATGTCGCTTAACTGTGTGCCACCTTGCGTTGTGCATTATGGACATTGCATTGTATTCTCCAAACAGGCAACTAAGAAAAACATGTATAATAAACTGATGTTAAATATCATATGAAAACATGTTATTACAAAACATTGTTTTATCTGTGATCTCAGTCTTTCACCTTTTTAAAGAACTAACACGAAAAACTAACAATTATACTATTACCAAAACAATCAGGCCTAGATTAACCGATTTATGGCGTTTCTCAGCAGTGATGCGCCATCTGGTGGCAGGTGGCGGCATAACATTTAGGAAACAACTATTTACTGCATTGAGTATCAATTAAATTGTAAACCAGTTAGACTGAATGAATATGTTTGGTACAAACTAGTGACAATAGCGATGATTAGGTGACTAGTTGTGCATGTCCCTATTACTTATTTTGGATTGCCTTTTTTTTTTTTTGCCAGGCTCCTCGTCCTCCTAAGCAGCCAAATGTGCAGGACTTCCAGTTCTTCCCTCCACGTCTTTTTGAGCTTCTAGAAAAGGAAATTCTCTTCTACAGAAAGACCATTGGATATAAGGTTCAAAGAGATCAGACACATTCCTATTTGTCCAAATTTTGTTGTCTTTTGAGAAGACTCTAACTGGATCTGTGGCTTTGTCTCTTAAGGTTCCTCGCAATCCAGACATACCAAACTCTGCTCAGGTCCAGAAGGAGGAGCAGGCTAAGATCGATGAGGCCGAGGCCCTCACAGAGGAGGAACTGGAGGAGAAGGAAACCCTTCTGCAACAGGTGGATTATTTTTCTTGTTGACTTGCAGCCAGTGGCTGATATACAGGAAATGAAATGTTTGCATATTTCTCTAAATTGTGCATTAACTGATCAACTGTACGCTTGTCGCAGGGATTTACTATTTGGAACAAACGTGACTTCAACCAATTCATCAAAGCAAACGAGAAGTGGGGGAGAGATGATATTGAGAACATTGCCAGAGAGGTTGAGGGGAAAACTCCAGAGGAAGTCATGGAATATTCTGGTAATGGATTTTTTTTTTCTTCTGTGGAAAGCAAACCCAGATATTTAAATTGATTTATTGTGTGACTTCATGTTCGTGTCCTTTCCTGCAGCTGTATTCTGGGAGCGCTGCAATGAGTTGCAGGATATTGAAAAGATCATGGCCCAGATAGAAAGAGGAGAGGCCAGGATTCAGAGGAGGATCAGCATCAAGAAAGCACTGGACTCAAAGGTAGCAGTCAGTCAACTGTGAAATAATAATAATAATAATAATAATAATAATAATAATAATGGATTGCATTTATATAGCGCTTTTCTAGACACTCAAAGCGCTTTACAATTCCACTATTCATTCACTCTCACATTCACACACTGGTGGAGGCAAGCTACAGTTGTAGCCACAGCTGCCCTGGGGCAGACTGACAGAAGCGAGGCTGCCATATTGCGCCATCGCCCCGTATCATATAGTATGTTTCTCCAAAAAAAAAAAAAGATTCTTTTTGTAGTGCAAGTTGCTGAGTAGATTTCTCATTCAGCGTTGTGTTTATCCTTCAATGTGTTTCTCAAATCCTCCTTTAGATTGGCCGCTACAAGGCTCCTTTCCATCAGCTCCGTATCTCCTACGGCACTAACAAAGGCAAGAACTACACAGAGGAGGAAGACCGCTTCCTCATCTGTATGCTTCACAAGCTCGGCTTTGATAAGGAGAGCGTGTACGACGAGCTCCGCCAGTGCATCCGCAACTCACCACAGTTCCGCTTCGACTGGTTCCTCAAATCTAGGACTGCAATGGTGAGTTTGGATTACTTCACTCTTATTTCTCGGGTTTTTTTCTTCTGTTATTTAAAAAAATTGTAAAAATTGTCTTAATAATTAAAAATGCAATTTTTTTTTCTCCCCCCATTTATCGTGTAGGAGCTCCAGAGGCGATGCAACACCCTGATTACCCTGATAGAGAGAGAGAACATGGAGCTGGAGGAGAGGGAGAAGGCAGAAAAGAAGAAACGGGGCCCAAAGACCGGCTCAGTAAGCTACGAATTCATCCCATAATAAACAATTCAAACTATTTTAAGCTGTCTATTAAGGACAACATCCTTTTATTATTATTTTTTTAATCCATTTTTTTCCCCGTCCCAGGCGCAGAAACGAAAGTCAGAGGGAACTCCAGACGGTCGAGGACGAAGGAAAAAGCTCAAGTTGTGAAGCTGCTGGAAAAACCCGCATTAACAGAATTAAAGACGGCAGCCAGCTATCATTAGTCCTAGTGTCTGTGTTTGTTTGCAGGCTGTGATAATGTACTGTGTAAAATCCCTGACGGACTGATATGGTTGTTTTAGGTTCTAGGAAGTGTTTCTTTACAAGCCTGCCTTGTTGTCACTTACCTAAACACTGCAGCTGTGCTGGGTTAGATTTAGTTCGCTAGTCCTTATTTTTTACTAGTACTTAATTGAAATATGTGTATTTATGCCTGTTGGTTGTACCACATTCCATTGCTTGAAACAAACAATATGTACCCTTTTTTATTTTTAAGAAAACATCTGTTCTTGTATCTTATATTGTAGAAAATGTCTTTTTGAGCATCGCAAATAAATCTCCCCCCCTTTTTTAAAAAAACAAACAAAAAAGCTGATAAATGACACGTTCATAAAATATTTCTTTTCAGTTTGGCAGCTTAAGTTTACATACATCCAGTATTTGGAAAAATTTCACAAAGTTAATAAGCCATAAAAGTCTACTAATAGTTGGCACATTAAAATATGCTGTCACATGTAGAAGGAAAAAGTATCGTTTTTATACTGCACTTGTTTTCAGGCCTTGATCAACAAACCAGACAGATTTTTCTTTTTTCAAGTTTCACCAGGGTGTAGTAATACTTTTTTCCTTTTACCCATAGTCCTACATTGATATGTACACGGATAGGTGTGCATCTGATTTTAGCCACATTTATCTAGAAAATGTAAAAAAAAAAAAAAAAGTGGATTTCTGCATTCTCAAAAGACTAAAATAACATTTACAATCCCTTTCAGTGACACCACAGTAGTACTCTTATCAGTAGTAGTATTGCAGGCTTCTTATAGAAGGAAAAAGAATCACATCATTCATTAAGGTCAGTTTTGACTAACATTCAGTCCTTTTTGCTCTCCACTAAAAAAACATAATGAACATGGTGAAATACAGTAATTAACAAAAAAAAAAAGACTTTGTGAATAGAAAATAATTTGCTTTTATGAGATTTAAACAAGGATGCCATTTACTCACGAGTTACTACATTACATGCATTTGCAAACACTGGATAAAGAGTGATATTTTACAACTTGGAACCTAAATGAAACATATATTTTGAGGGGCTTCTACTTATATCCATGATCCTGCATAGGTTGTAATAAAGGCACGAACGTACAGTAAATTAAAGACAATTATCAGAGATCAGCAAGCCTCATTATTCTGGTGCATTCACTCCCTGTGGGCCCCGAGTACCGACATCCTTTGCTGTCCACAGACTGTTCTGGGCTCTTTTCAGTGCTACACAAGTTTGGCATCGAAGGCACATTGGTGGAGGAGACTTATCAAAGTCCCTTTAATAGGGGACAGATGTTTGAACTGGAGCTGGGCCCACATTTACACCTCTGAGCTGTCTGAGCCACCCCACATGCCTGCTGGGCTGTGACTATAACCGTTGTAGGCCGAAGAAGAGGAGATGGCGTAAGGAGGGTACTGGCTCTTCTTTTCACGCTTCTTGCGCCGCAGCAGGAGAATGACGACGGTGGCAATGACGCATGTGAGGAGGATCAGGCCTGCGACGCCCACCAGCAAAGGTATAGTGGAAGTATCAGTCAGCTCTCTGCCTGAACTCTCCAGCAGGGGGCGCTCTAAGAAACTGTCACGATTAGGGAGCCAAGGCTGGCGCTGGCTGACCACAATGCGGTCTCTTCGGTCCAGGGCGATGTGCTGGATGTTGGTGCCCCGATTGTTTTCGATACCGATGTCTTGGGCTACAGCAGGAGCCGAGAAAGAGGGGGCGGCACGGTGGTGGCGGGTGGAGGAGCGGGGCTGCTCAACAGAGGAGATGCTGTGATGGAGGTACTCCACACTGCGCTTGCCAATGTTGCGGTTGGCATTTTCTCTGGAGCGGACAGTGTAGATGGTGTGGATGAACCATTCTCGACCAGCAGCCACCTGAAAGCACAAGATGTGTAATTCTCTTTAAGTCTGGGCCTGTGCAAAACATCTACGGAGGACCAGAAGTGCCAAATTTTAAAAAAAAGCAAAACTATTTAATAATAATAATAAATAAAGTATTTTATCATTAAATGTACTACCATTAATCCTACTATAATATTTGTAGCATATGTATGCACATATGTCTGTAAGTATCCTACCTCGTTCTTAACAGGTGGGCCAATCACAACAATACTTTGCACAAACATTGTCACACATACAGCGATTATTAATATCAAAATGTTTTTAAAAACATTTATATTTCCATTTAAATTCGTTTCACCCTTCACATTTAACATATGTTGCTTGTAGCTTTATGGTAACCAAAGCTTGTGTCTTTGATTGAATTTTGTTTGATAAATGCGAAACGAAGACTTTGAAAAGAAGAATTTGAAAAAATATTGCAGGCCGTGCTAGTTTATTTCATCGCTTTATTTCATTTATTATCATTACCACTTAACATTCAGTTTTGTATTATTACGTTATGTGTATTTATTGATTTTTATCTCTTTATTTTTGATCAATTTCTACTTTAACATGAGGGGGCTGTCATTCAAAGGATCAACATGGAAAAGCATGTCTATGTTTATTTTTTTACCATATTTACTTAAATTATTTATTTATTTATTGCTTTTTTTTTTTCAGTTTTGGGCTTCCATAGATGAACATATTATATCTGTGAATAATGCAGACCTGGAAAAGTGGGGAGGAAGACAGTGTGAAGCCGTCTGTGCCTGGCTGTCTGATCAAAGACAGAGCTCCTGGTGTGTCCTGCGCCAGTGTGGCCTTAAAAGAAACGTCACCAAATGATGTAGCTTGAGTCTCTGGCTGGGCTTTGTCCTGCAGAACGGCACACACACACACAGAAAAATCAGAAACCCCATCTACTTTTTTCACTTCCACAATATCCAATCATACTTTGTGATCCATTGCATCATACCAGGATCTTGAATCTGTGCAGTAGAGAGGGTGCGTCTGCCAGGCAGCCATACTCTTTGTTAGTGGGGTTGTATTTGGGAACGTAACCGTCCATTCCGGTGCAGAGGAAGACTTTCTCAATGCTGCAGGAGAAGGAGTCACCCAGGTTCTGGACTGGATCCACCATCACACGGCCATAAATCATGGAGCCTGATTGAAGTACAGATGAAACATGACATTGCCTGTGGGTCATGGTTTCCCACTGTGATGTTACTTAACACCACTAGATGGCAGTAGTGTAGTACCTTCTGAAAAAGCAGCATCGGTTCCTTCTCCAAATCCCATGGAGCCGTCGGACAACCACAGCTCTTTCTTGGACAGCAGGAACATTTGTGTGTTGAGGCTGAACTCGGCTGCCACCGGGTCACTCACCTGCCGAGCAAGGATCATTAAAAAGGCAATAAATAATGCACCAAAGTGTAAATACAACACACTGAAAAAGCCTTCAAGAGCAATCCGCTCTAACCTGCTGGAAGCGAATGTCCATATCAAAAGTAAGCGGCTCCCTTGGGTGGCAGACAGGAGGGATGCTGAACTCCCCATTGGGTGATGCAATGCAGGGGACCAGCTTCACTGTATAAGTCCCGGAGTAGTCTCGTACCTAGAGGTTGGACAGACATTGAGGAATGGGGCTGTTTGGTTTGCTATTTCTTTACCAGTTGAAGGATGCTTTCACAGTTAAATGACTCACAGCAAAATCAGAGACAAAGCTCCACTGCTGCATGGGCTGGTTGTATGTAGGCTCAGTCCTGACCAGGGCTAGAGTGAACGTCAGCCCAGAGTGGTCAGCACATATCACCATAGATGACACGCTGGTTCCTGAAAACAAACATGTATACAGTCATAAATCTTCACAAACGCAATTTGCCCAACCTAAGCTAGTAACAGTGTCTACCTCCTTATTTATAGAGTGACCTTTCACACTGCCTGTGCTACTTGCTGCCTAAAAGTAAACGCTGCTGGGTCATTTTGACATTTGCTGAATGACCTCTGGGTCTTTCAAACAGGAAGACCCCTGAGGTGGAACTCCATAAATAGATAACGACAGGATGTGGACCACGGGGTAATCCAGTAGGAGGCGGCTTGTACAGAATGACCCCACAAGATGGGTTTAGGATGTGTACACTGTACATGCATACCTGGATGAGACATGACAAACTGCCCCCTGAAGCGTGCCTCGGTCTTGAAGTTGACAACGAGACGGCCCTCCTCATTTATACGCATACTGGTGGGGTACATGGCTCCTACGAGTACAGAGGGGAACGTTTTCCAATGAGCGTCACCAATTTACATTTTTCCTCAGTAAAGACTAACAGCGTTGGCTATGAAGATACCTTGTAGTTCAGCTTCAGGTGGGCTGCCAATGCCATCCTGCCACAGAATAGCTGTGTCATACACAAAGGTGAGCTTGAGCTCTGATTGCAGGTCAAAGTGCTGCCAGCCTCCGACAGCCACCGGAGAGTGGAAGACGTAAGACACAAACAGAGGAACACGCAGGGTGACATAAGACTGGACCAGGTTCAGCACCTAAATGGGCAGGGAAAAGGCACCGTCGTGAATAACAACTATTTCTTTGGGAACTAATGCTAGCGAGTGTCTTTATGCATGCCTAATCATCCAAGTAAGAAAATCCCAGGAAGTTGATTCTGCTCATCTGGACTTTTTCAGTGAAACAAACTTTTTGTCCCTCATCCAAGTGACTTCTTCAATCTCAGCTGGCTGCAGGTTTCTCCAACCTTACAAATGCTACAGTTGCAATAATGACCAAAACTAACACCACTGGCTAACAAAACTGAGCTAACAGCCCGAGCTTCAGTCATTATGCAGTTGTATCATTTATAAGGTTGGAGAAACCTCTAGTCAGCCGGTCACTTGGATGAATAACGCGACCTCCAGATGAACACAATCAACTTCATGGGGTACTGCTAGCAAGCTAGCTAGCAACAGGCTCTCCAGGCAATTCAGCTAATACCAGTTGAATCGCAATATCTCATTCATAATGTTACTATCTAGCTTTCTGCTGGAAAACCTTGGATCCTGGGCCTCCTGTAAATGTTACAAACTTAAAAAAAATGTTCAGACTGAGTTTAATGTGGTGAGTTTAAAACACATTTTACCGTCTTCACTTATTTAATTTTGTATAGCTCTTTTTCCTACCTGTCCATCGGTTCCGATGGATCCTCCACAGTCGTTCAGCAGCTCTGACATGTCATAGTAGCTGGTGAACTCCCAGAGGCAGGCCTCTAAGTTGAGATTCCTGTAAAAGCGCAGAGAGTTGGCTGAACGCATGACAACGCTGTATTGATAGGGCGATGTCTCCCCAATTATTTCAGGGTTCTTTGTTGCGTCTGTGATGAAGCCGTAGCCAGTTTGGATCTCATTGAAGTCCAGCAAATTGGAGCAGCGATGGTTGCCCACACGTGTGCCATCCGGGCTCAGGGTAAGCTCAAAGTTGGACAGAGGTCTTGTGGAGATCACTGGCAGCATTCCTGATGAACAGGCAAAAGATTGTTTTTGGTTTTTTTTGTCACACACATTGGCTATATAAGGGCATATATTGGGCTTATAAGGGCTTACCGTCCATGTGAGGCATGTGGACTGTCAGTTTGATGAGGTTGGGAAAGTCTGGATCATCTGGACCCGTGTAGCGAATCTTTGCAGAGAATGGTTCAGCTCCAACAGTACCTGGGACACGAGGCTGACACATACCTGAAAAAGGTAGGGTCAGCTAAACCAGATCATTCTACATCCAGTATTTTATCTGTAAATCTCTGCTGGCTTCTTCTTACCCTCCTCTTTGCTGATCACAACTATAGAACTGACAAGCTCCAGGCCAGCATCTCCGTTGGCATTGAAAGCCCTTGCTGCACACTGAACCCTGGAGCCGGCTTGGAAGTAGATTGAATCCAAGGTGATGGACTTGGTGTTGGTGAAGAAAGTGTTAGTGTCCACTTCCCTCATGGGGCTGGTTACTCCATCTAATCCGGTGGGAGCGCTGATGAGCCAGCGGTACTGAGTGAGCGTGTCGTTGATGTTCTCCGCGGCACAGATGGAACCCGTTTTATCAAAGTCATGATATTTAGGGTTGCAGGCCTAGAAACAATATGATAAACCTTACATTTTTAAAAACAGTATTACCAATATGTTTTATATAATAATTACTACTGAAAAAGTGCTTTATTTGATTTTATATTAAAGTAAATAAAGCAGCATCTCACTCACCGTCACACAAACAACAGGGTATCCATTGGGTGGGTAGGGTCTGTCTTTCATTTTAGATGTGTCGTCATACATGAGAAGGGAAACCACTTGGGGGATGGCAGGGAAAGTAACATCTGCCACACTGTCCATCTCCTCAATGTAAACAATGGCCTTGTTCATCTAGGAAACGAGAAAACGCAGAGTTAACTGGCTGTCATCCTAAACAACTACCCAACACTTTAAATAAGCCTATAGCTCTGCCATTTAGACTATTAGATTACGGGTATTATTAATGTGTATCCATGTGTAAAAAGCACATACTCAAACTCATAATCTAGTGTGGCAAAGGTTTAGAAGTAACATATTTATCTCATTGAATGCTTTGGTTCAAAACAATGGAGTGTGATTAGTCATTACCACAATTTGGTGTACAGTCACTGGACACCTTATTAGGTACACGTTCCAAATTGAATGATGTAGTTATACTGCGATTCTTCTTCACCTAGTCCTTTGCAACTTTCCCTATGTGTGTTTAATCATTTGTATTTCTAGTTATTAGTTACATGTTTAGTCAGTTCCCTTTAAGTTGTCTTGGTCTCATTTGTATGTCCTCTCCATGTCATTCTCTCTCATTCTCCCTGTACCTGGATGCCCTCCATTGTGTATCCCTGTTCTGTGCTCCAGTTTCCCTATTGTTATTCCCAGTGTAGGTTCCCGTTTATGTTTTGGGTTTTCATCTTCGTTTGTATCTGTTCCAACGCCTCGAAGGGCTCGCTTTCTGTTTAACCCTTTGTCTGCCTTTGTGTCTGCATTTTTGTCCTCATTACACTCATTCAAGAGAGTCCATATGAATTGTAGTCTTAGTTTCCTGTTTTTAGCCAACAGGAGTGGCACCTGGTGTGGTCTTCTGCATACCTAAGATGCTCTTCAGTTTCCGAAGTACTCAGACCAGCTCATGTGGCACCAACAACCATGCCACATTCAAAGTCATTTAAATCAAATTTCATCCTTTTTCTGATGCTCGGTGTAAACCTCAGCAGTTTGTCTTGACCATGTTTAAATGCCTAAATGCATTGAGTTGCTGCCACGTGATTGGCTGATTAGATATTTGTGTTAAAAAGCAGTTGAACGGGTGTATTTGTTAAAATATCCGATGAGTGTATCTGAATAAAGCCAGCTGGAAGAAATTCTCATCTGTTTTCATAAAATTGTCTTTTCAATGCACTGTTCACAAAGAAATACACTCTGAGTAATACTGCAAATACACTGGGTGCTGGAGATTAATAGTTATGCCACAATGGATTTTGATTTGCTCCTAAACATGTTTATCAATCAACTCATGATAAACAAATTAGTTGTGAATTCAAAACATTGGTATTATAATATCTGCCGTGGAGCCCTCGAGATTAGTTTAATTTCACCGAAATAAAACATTGTCATTTTAAATGATCCTCTGTGTAATTTCAACACACAAATTGTACTGTAATCACCTATTTCTGTCACGTGAGCTGTACATGCCTGCTGTAGAGTATATGGGCAGAATGTCGCCGTTCTGTTTATAGGTTTGTCTTCTGTTTGGCTCTGCTGGGACATTCCCCTCAGCATCTCATTCCTGCTTTTTATATATCTGTGGTTCAGGCGTGCTGACAGCATTGCCAGCTGCTGCCTGCTTATTTTAACACAGGCTGACATGACAGGGCTCCTGTGTAGATCTGCAGTACTGTACCCCGCACATACACAACCTTCTTCTGGGTTTATATTTGTTTATGCGCATCTGCTCGTGCATCCCACGTGGCCGTTGTCTCACCTGTATTTCAGCCACCATATTGTCATCAGGCTTCATGTGCACAGTGAAGGCCTCTCTCATCTCTCTCTGACCGTCATACAGGACCTCAATCTCCACAAAGTGTTCCTTCTCGCCCTCCTTGAACTCCACATCTTAAAACACAAACAGTGACGTGTGCAGTCATACCAGGAGGCAGCATGCAAGTTACTTAGTCACTGTGTAGCCGCTAAAATCAGGTTCTCACCCTCTGACATCGGGTTATAATCTTCTCCAGAGGTTGCAGACCCATCCTTTGTGTGCACCCTCACTACTGAAACCTTTGAAGTGTCACCAAAACGAAGAATAGGAATCTTCACTGTGGCCACTTCGCCTTTCACCTGGGGTTCACGCACACTATACTTGATCTCAGAGAAACGGATGATTGGCTCTGGAAGAAA